CTATACAACTAAATAAAGGATTTGAAAAGAAATACATCCAAGTCTGGATGCTTGAGAAGGTGAAGAAATAGCAAAACATTCTAGATTTATGAGGAGCTATGAGGGGTATTGTACAGGTTTGCATGAGCAGTTATATAATTTAGTGACTCTTATGTGATATTCTGCATTATATTTACAATAGAGTGAACTGCACCCAACTGTATTAAATAAAACTAATTTTTTACTAAGGGTTGCTGGTGACAGTATTTCTCCAACAGCTTGTTCATGCCATCAGAGCCCAGAGATAAAAAATATAGGACACTTTGGGTATATTTTATTATTTCACAATGATTGGATAGCATGACACCTAATGAAAATTTACATTAGGTAGATACCTAGTGTAAATTTCACACTTTTTCAGTCATAGCCTCTCTTGGCTGGCTCAGTATACCTGTCCTGATGTTTTGGAAAAAATAATTTTTGATGAATTCTTATGCAATTAAAATATCTTGGGCATTTAGAAATATTTTTTCAGCAGGAAAATAATTCATAACCCTAGTGAGAATGAGTTGTTTGCTTTAAAGTCAGCATGAGTTTGTTATCATTAACAGGTTTGGAGCAAGGTTTCAGAGAAATGGTAAAAAATGATTTTTTAGACTCTGAATCTAGCAAACAGGGATGTACTTGCTTAAATTTTTACAAGCAACTAGTCTTGCTAGAAACCCTCCTAAACCTAAGAACACATATAAGCATCTGCAGAGGAAGCCCTCAGTCTGATTACATCTGGCTCATCTGAAATCAATAAAAATATATTCTTGAACTTTTTCTGAAATTTGAAAGTCCCTCTGAGTACTGAATTAAATTTCAGTTCTCACTTTGGCTGAAAATTACTTCGTTTTCCTTAATGAGACTAATATTTTGTTTTCAAAATAATAACTTTAATGGAGAGTGAGAGTTTTAAATGTATGTGCTTTCCAATAAACAGCAGTAACACTTTGTGATTTTATAGTGCCTTTCATTTTAGGTTCTGAAAGTGCCTCATGAATGTTTTAGTCTCACATCACCCTAAGTGGAACAGTATTGTTGTGCTTGTTTTGCAGGCAGGATTCTAAAACAGAGAGACTGAGCTATGAAAAAGAAAATACTGAACTTTGCTAATGGCTGTTCACAGACTTATTCTCACACATAAATCTTTCCTCCCATACTTACTAGCCATGTTACTTTGGACATATTTTTAGTATTGACAGCTAATACCTATGATGGAAATAACTACATCTTTGATTTGACAAACTATTTCCATTTAGAAAATGCTAGAAAATGTTAAAACATTATAATTATTTTAAACAGGATTTAATAAATATGCTCAAAGCCAACCCTATGCTTACGTGTTTTCTGATTCAGTATCTGAGTACTGCAGGTGAAATCTAGTAGACAAAAGGATAGGTTTTATTTTCTGAATGGAGACCAGCAAAAACCCTGTTCGCCTGGGCACTGGCATTTGCCAGACAGATTAATGCAAATGTATGCAAAATTATTATCTAAGCATCTGTTTTCTTTAACACAGTAATAAAACCAGAATTCAGATGTCCTGTCTTTGTTTATAGAAGAGCCATTACTATTGTCTTAAATTGATGTGGTTTATGCGAAAATGTTGATAAATTCTGTATCTGAACAAATTTTTGTGCCTTTTTTCAAACTCTGAAACTGTTACAAGCCAAAGGGTGAATTGAGAGTTCTGAACAGTGCATAGAAATTTCTGTTTTACACAAATGTTTCACTATAGTATAAAAGAATTTGTTTAAGAAGATTATCTATTTGTATACAAATTTCATTTTCATTTATAATAGACCTTGTAAGAGACTGACTGACCTTGAGTATAATATATAATTACACAGAATAGACATCAGTTTCTTCACAGCATTCCTATTCCAAACTTACACAGTTATGCTGATGAAAAGAAAACCACAAAAAACCACATCAAGTAATTTGGAAATAATTGTATTCATAAGGTGTTTTTGTCTCCAGTGAAGACTTCAATTAAACCAAGACTTACAGTAATTGTCAGTATGCTTGACCAGCTGTTAAAATTAGCAAATAGTTATTGTGCCAAAAAAGAGCATTTCAAGCAAATAATTTCACTTAAAATACTAAAAAGCACATTTTTCAGTTTATACTGTTGGAGGTTATGGTGGCATATTTGATTAATGGGCTGTTTTATTGGTGATGGAAGTAATGTCTAATGTCATGTGACCCACATGTTGTAGATTAGAGAGGTATTAAACTTACCTTGGCACAAAGTGAAAAATCTGAAATATCCCTCTGGTAAAATACATCATTCTAGAGGAGAAAGACATGTTGGCATTGCTTGTATTTATGATTCTGATAAATTACATTTCATGTTTACTTAGTTTTAGTATCCAATCAAAATCTATTCTTTTTCATACTTTTGCTTCTCTTTATTTGTCAAGTTCCTCCTGCAAGTTGTGTCTACAATGCCCAGCACCTGCATGTGAAACCCAACTTTACATTACCTGCCTGTTATAAACAAAGACTTGGAGGAAGACGAAAGTGCCTAGTTTTTCATAAAATAACCTCATTATTTATTGCCATTTGTCTAGAATGGTGCAAGCAGCAACAGAATAAGGAAGGCATGTGCTTGCAGTAAGCGCTGTGAGAAGGCCTCTCAGCAAAGCCCCAAGCTATCAAACAAAAATTCACCTGGTTCCATATTATATGGGAAACCTGAACCAGAGGTCAGGGTCTTTTTAAAGAGTCACTGAGATTCTGGGTCTTTTGGGTAAAGTTTATTTGGGAAAAGATGACCTGACATGTGAATCTGGCTGGAAACTAAACCCAGAAATGGATGAAATGCATCAGTTTAGGTTGGATTTTACTTTGAAGTTTTAATTTCTGTTGACACTGAATGGTAGACTGGGAATCAGAAAGCACACCAGAGCTTTGCATATACTGCAACTCAATGAAACTGTTAAGTTTCACCTTATTCTCTCCAGAACTGGGGCAAAATTTGGCTCTCAGAAATCTTTGTATGTTCTAGGGCCAAAAAATGGTTACTTCTTCTGGTGATAAAATTCCAAATGTAAAGTAGCCCTCAGAGGAACACTGTCTCCTCTTCAGATTGCATGTTTTCCTGCCAGTAAAGTAAGCCGGATTCCTCCTCCTTTGTTTTTTTCTCTGATTTTTTGGCTTTGGTAACCTGGGAAACACTTCATTGTTGATCATGACCACCTCAGGTGGGTTGTCTTCTGCCAGTGCACTGGGACTGTAAACTACACAGGTAAAATACACCAGCACATGTGACTATGAAGCCTATTTCTAGAATTTTTGCTCAGACACATGTAAAAACAGCCAACCACATCTCCTGATTTAGAGAAAAATGTAAACATGATTTCCTACAGAAAAGGTCACTTCTAAAGGAAGAGGAAATAGAATTAAAATCTTTAATGTACATCTAAATTTTTTTTACATGTATGTTACTCTCAAGTACTATGAGATCGTGAAAAAAGAGCACTTAGAAAAATTGACTGTTTTGATCCAATAACTGCAGTGGTCTTTCTTTGAGGGAAAGTACACTGAAACAAGATTTAGCCTGTGGATTCAACTAAAAATGAGCCCTTTGATAAAGACTTAAACTATGTCCGCTTTGCCATCTTGGAGCATGTTGAGGCCTTGGAACAGATTGCCGAAAGAAGTGGTAAATGCCCCATCCCTGGCAGTGTTCAAGGCCAGGTTGGACAGAGCCTTGGAGACATGGTTTAGTGGGAAGTGTCCCAGCCCATGGCAGGGGGGTTGGAACTAGATGATCTTTAAGGTCTTTTCCAACCCTAACCTTTCTATGATTCTGTGTGAGACCACTGCTCTTGTTTCTCTCAGGTTCCTTCTGAGGCTGTGTAGCATTATCTTCTGAGATACACTGGCAAAAATAGTGCTGTGCAGCAGTTCTTCAGGCAAAGAAATTGTTGGGTGGTATAACCTTGGGCTAAATTTAGTTCCTTGAAATTTCCTTCTTCCAGGAGTTCTGGTTCCACCACTCTTTATAGCACACGCTCATCTGGAAATGATCATCTGGGCTCTGGTCTTGCAAACACTTATGCACGTGCTGCACTGTTCTATAGTAGATTGCTTCAAGGAAATCAATGGGTGTGTTTGAAAGATGAAGAATATACGTAAGTGTTGACAAGATTTGGACCCTAGTCACCACAAAAGGGTGTTAAAATATCAAGGTGGTGGGTGGAAAAAATGCAGGGCTTCCTTAGCCAGAGATCCTATGTTTATACAAATGTGTTTAAAAAAATAAAATTAGAAAAAGAAAAGAAATATCCTGAAAATATATTTTATGGTAAGTAGGCCTTTCTTCCTAGGATGCATCTCATAATTTTCCAGAAGGATCCAGCCATGCATTAATCACAGGATTAGTTTTCTTATCTTGGTAGCATTGTGACACTTTAAAAAAACCTCTCAGAACTAATGTAACCTCCACACATTACAGAATGATTGTGTCCAAAGAATAGACATTGACAGATTTGAAATAATTATGTAAATTTACCTAGAGTCCTATTTAAATGCACATTTTTCGGACTTAAAAGAAAGAAAACACCTTCAGCCAACCCCTGGTGATTGCTGAGGAAGCTATACATGCCTACATTAAACCTAGCACAATATGCTATAAAAAACTCATTACACATCCAAGCTGTCTTTGTGTCAGCATTAAATACACATTCTGTAAATTACACACTTATAAATTACTCATTTATAATAGCTGCAGGCTGACAGCTATAGTGAAAATTTTACTTTTTTTAACTTTTTTTTTTTATGTGTGTTTTGCTTATCTGAGCACCTGGTAATCCTCAGCTCCCTGTTAATGAACAGCAAAAAACAAGATATAAAGAGATACTCCTGATGCACACTTTTTTGCTTATTAACTTTACAATAATACAAGTAGAAACTGGTACTGGCAGGCATGGTCATATCTTTCTGCTGGAGTTAGTGTTGACTAGTTATAGATAAGTCAATAATGTAACACTCAAAAACCTGTTAACAATAACTCAAAAAGGCAAAAGATACTGTACTGCTTGCTTTTTCTTCATGGGGAATCTTAACATGCACTTAGCTCTTTGGAATTGTTATGATCAGGGTTCCCTGAAAACAAACTGAGTAGGTTAACAGGCATATTAATCTTATCCTTATCTACAAGATACCTTCCTGTATGCTTCAGCATCCTTCAGTCAGATCCTGTGCTCCACTTGTAAAAAAATCCAGCCTTCAAAATGACCCATCTTACAGGCTTTCTTTGTTGCAGCAGTGCACTGTTCACACATTGAGCTTGTTGTCCACCAGGATGGCCAGATCCTTTCTTACAGAGCTGGTCCCCAGCCAGGTAAGTCCCAGCCTGTGCTGCACTCTTGGATTATGTTTTCCCAGATACAAGACCTTACACTTCTCCTTGACGAACTTCCTAAGGTTCTTATTAGCCCACTCTTCCATATTTGAACCTTTTGACTTGGAAATTAGCTTTAAAAGGAGTATGTATTCACTAAAAAAATAGAATGTACAGTGTGACTTATGTCTCTCATCAGAAGTCTTGGGCTACCATTTCAATAAGTAAATACTTACGCAAAGTGTGCAAAGAGCAAAAATGCACCAAATCAACAAAAGCTCCAAATTAGTAAGGTTGCTTCAAACAGATCAAAATATAACTTGCAGTTAAAGGTAGAAATTGCTGGAAATAGCAGCTTTTATATTTGACCCTAGTGTCCACTGGTAATGAACTGCAACTTTTGGAAACGTGCCCCAGAACTTATGGGGCTATTTGTATAAAACCGAAGATGATTTATCTAGGGCTATATTTAACAGTGTTATTCCCCATCTGTGATCATGTATCTTTAAGTAATGTTTTCTGGACTTTATAAATATCTTATAGGCAGAAGGTTCTTGAAAAAGCCGGCCGGTGTTCAGATCCAGGACTGCCCCAGTCAGACCTTTACGGTTTGATGTTTGCACTGTAAAATCCAGATGCTTTGCTTTTATTATACAATTTATATTGGGCATTTGCTGCAGTGGACTTTTACACCCTCCACTCCCACTTTTATGTTCAGATTGAGAATGACTCTATTTTTGCTTTAAATATGTTCAGCTACACAGCCTCTAGTTATTCCCTCAGTTCTCTCTTTATTGCTGCACTCAATCATTCTTTCTCACATTCTCTCTTTTGCAATCTAACTTTGAATTACATCTCTTCCCCAGTTGTTGGCAGTCATTTTCTAGCACAATATAGTTGATTCTTACCTAGTAAGTATCAGTAAGTTAACGTTTAGTATAATTCTTTCCCTCTGTCTGTGCATTTGGTGGTGGCTGGGTGGAAGGGGTAATGTGTTATTTTTTAAGGTGCCTTTTGTAAAAGAAATGGATTTTTGCAGCTCCTCCAGTGTGGGTTCTTTGTTTTTCTCAGGTCACTGATGAAAAGACCGGAGAAAACTGATTGAAAAACAAATTCAGAAGCTCTCCACTTCTATAAGAACTGCAGCAGCATTACAGAGAAAATAAGTGACACTCTCTGATGATCAGTTTGATAAAGGTGACAATAATATATTCACACCTTGACTCCTGTTCTATAATTTTATCACACAGGAACATAACAACATATATTTCTTTGTAAATAATACAAAGAATTAAAACTATGTATGCTTCTTTGCTTTTTTCTATTCAACTAAAAGCAAACCACATTTTTTGGCATGTTTTCTCCATGGATCAGTGTTACACAGCCATTTTCTCCTCTGTTTGGGGAAATACCATTGTGACACCACACCCCTTCTGGTCCATATTAGCTCTGATTGCTATAGCCTATGATTCAAGAAAAACCTGTAAATTACCCATTTTAGTAATGAAAGCAAGGACTGAATACATTGAAGGTGAGAACTAAGGAATTCTTGTTCACAGCTTTCTCTAAGTATTGACAATATTCTTCCCAACACCTGAGAAATTGATTTAGGGGACATTTCTTCTAAGAGCATCTCAAATGATTAACGTGCAACAGAAGAGAATTGCTGAACCTTTATGGTAAGAAATTTAAGATTTTGATTTTTCATGTGCTATTCTCTTGTTTAGGATTAATATTTAATCTGTTTGACTAACTGTTGTTCTTTATTAGAAGAATTATTTATTTTGAGATGGATATGGTACTGAGAAAAACTAGAGACTATAATGATGATTTGTTATCATTGCACTAAAAGGGTATGTTTTAAATATAACATAATCCTAGGAATTTGACCAAAAGTAGGTGGATTAAAATTTCATCCAGAAGAGGTATATTTTTATTAGTAAAGTCCAGGAATGATTAAGTCCTTTAGCTGTTATAAATCAATTTATAATATTCAGCTACAGTGAAACTTGTGTCTATTTACACCTGCTGAGGACCTGCCCAGTTAAGTTTACCTGGTGAGAAAACAGTACCTTTAGAAGCTTTAGAATCTTTGCTTAGAATTTTTATTTGGGAACCAACTGACTTGAAAATTAGGTAGTGGCACAGAGAGGATTTTAAATTCAGACTAGTGGTGGTAAATGGTATCACAACTAGTTGGTGATTGATCACTAGTGGTGTCTATCAGGGCTCGGTATTAGGGCTGATGTTTAACATCTTCATTGATGATCTGGATGAGGGGATCAAGTGCACCCTCACTAAACTTACAGACAACACCAAGTTGGCTGGGAGGGTTGATCTGCAAGAGGATAGGAAGATTCTGCAGAGGGATCTGGACAGGCTGGATCGATGGGCTGTTGCCAATGATAGGTTCAACAAGGTTCAACAAGGCAAAGTGCCAGGTCCTGCACCTGGGCCACAACAACCCCCTGCAATGCTCCAGGCTTGGGGAAGAATGGCTGGGAAGCTCTGTGGAAAAGGACCTGGGGATGCTGACTGATGGCCAGCTGGACATGAGCCAGTGTGTGCCCAGACAGCCAAGAAGGCTGATGGCATCCTGGCCTGTGTCAAAACTAGTGTGGCCAACAGGAACAAGGCAGTGATCATCTCCCTGTATGAGGCACTGGTGAGGCTGCACCTTGAATCCTGTGTTCAGTTCTGGGTCCCTCAGTACAAGAGAGACATTGAGGTGCTGGAGCAGGTCCAGAGAAGGGCAACAAAGCTGGTGAAGGGTCTGGAGCACAAGTCTGATGAGGAATGGCTGAGGGAACTGGGGTTGTTTAGTCTGGAAAATAGAAGGCTTATGTGAGACTTTATTGATTTCTATAGTTACCTGAAAGGACGATGGAGTGAGGTGGGGGTCAGTCTCTTCTCCCAAGTAACAAGTGATAAGACAGGAGATGACAGCCTCAAGCTGCACCCGGGAAGGTTTAGATGCATATTAGGAACAATTCTTTCACAGAGAGGGTTATCAGACATTGGAACAGGCTTCCCAGGGAAGTGGTGAAATCACTGTCCCTGGAAGTGTTGAAAAAATGTGTAGATGAGGCACTTAGTAACATGGTTTGGTGGTGGTCTTGGCAGTCCTGGGATAAAGGTTGAACCTGATAATCTTAAAGGTCTTTTCCAACCTAGCTGATTCTACGATTGCAATCAAATGCATCCTGTGATTTTAAATGTTGAAAGCTATTTGTTGGTGCTTGTTTGATGATCCTGATGTAGTGAACTGTGTGATCATAGGCCAGTTCTTATGAACAGGTATGTATTTCAAACCAGGGACTGCTACTACAGTTTGGTACATAGTCTCCATACACAACATGTGATTTTTTGTAGAAAGAAGGACAAATTTTGAACTGTATACAGGCTCCCCTCATCTGACTACCCCCAGGGCAAAAGCCTACTAAAAAAAATTAAGACCTCACAAGGTTGTCAAGCCTCCTGTAAAAATATTCTCTTTTAAACTAAATTGAGTCAGTGTTCTGCCTAAGAGTACCTTTGTTGAATATTGAACTGCAATCAGCTTTCTAGCACTGCACAAGATACTGACAAAATGAGTTAAAGAAGAGTGTGCTGCTGGTGAAAGGAAGGGGCTTGTCATGTAAAAACATAACAACATAATACATTGTAGTCCTGGGGTCATATATGGAAGGTGGGGGCATTATGACTGCTCACCATCTTGCACGCACTAAGCGCTCCCTTGTTTGTTACCATTCTCTTCTAGTGGTGGGATAGAGACTTAAATGAAGCTGTGATATGGGTGAGTACAGGCACTGTTATGTTCTCAGAATAAACCTGTGTATTGTGTTTGCTCTGGCAAAGCACAATGCTTCATTACATTTGCCTCCTAATTCAAGCTCCTTGCTGTGCATTGTGCCTGCAAAGTGCTTGCATTAAAAAGCCTGTGTGTAGTGATTACTCATAGATGGATTATGGATTTAAAGGAGATGCCCTTTAATGCCTCAAATTAGGCATTAGAGCTCTCTGCATTATGAGCTGAATTTTAGATGAATACCCTACTGAAGCATCCCTGATTATCCTAAGGTGCATCCTGTATGAAGGTTAGGGTGCATATTCAGACATTTAAACTAGATATCGAAAATACAGCATGTGACTGTCCCGCTAGTAGAGGTGTTTGCTGATGACATAGTTTTAATTGTCTTGACAGCATTGGGGGTACTGCCTTACTTCCTATGAGTAGTCCATGCACATAATGAAATTGAAGCAGGGTAACTACCTCGTTAGGCAGCATAAGATGCCTAACTATAGATTAGTCAGCCTCACCTCCATTCCTGGGAAAGTGATGGAACACCTTATTCTTGGTGCCATCTTAAGGCATATCAAGAATAAGAGGGTTATGAGGGGCAGTCAACATGGCTTCACCAAGGGGAAGTCATGCTTGACCAATCTCGTAGCCTTTTATGAGGAAATAACACGGTGGATGGATGATGGCAGAGCGGTGGATGTGGTCTACCTTGACTTCAGCAAAGCATTTGACACAGTCTCCCACAGCATCCTCGCAGCTAAATTGAGGAAGTGTGGTCTGGATGATCGGGTAGTGAGGTGGACTGTGAACTGGCTGAAGGAGAGAAGCCAGAGAGTTGTAGTCTATGGGGCGGAGTCTAGTTGGAGGCCTGTATCTAGTGGAGTGCCTCAAGGGTCGGTACTGGGCCCAGTATTATTTAATATATTCATCAATGATTTAGATGAGGGAATTGAGTGTACTATCAGCAAGTTTGCTGATGACACTAAGCTGGGAGGGGTGGCCGACACGCCAGAAGGCTGTGCTGCCATCCAGCGAGACCTGGACAGGCTGGAGAGTTGGGCAGGGAGTAACTTGATGAAATATAACAAGGGGAAGTGTAGAGTCCTGCATCTGGGCAGGAACAACCCCAGGTTCCAGTATAGGTTGGGGAACGACCTGTTAGAGAGCAGTGTAGGGGAGAGGGACCTGGGGGTCCTGGTGGATGACAGGGTGACCATGAGCCGACACTGTGCCCTTGTGGCCAAGAAGGCCAATGTTGGGTTGTATTAGAAGGGGGGTGGTTAGTAGGTCGAGAGAGGTCCTCCTTCCCCTCTACTCTGCCCTGGTGAGACCTCATCTGGAATATTGTGTCCAGTTCTGGGCCCCTCAGTTTAAGAAGGACAAGGACCTGCTGGAGAGAGTCCAGCGCAGGGCAACTAAGATGATTAAGGGAGTGGAGCATCTCCCTTATGAGGAAAGACTGAGGGAGCTGGGTCTCTATAGTTTGGAGAAGAGGAGATTGAGGGGTGACCTTATTAGTGTATATAAATATATAAAGGGGGAGTGTCACGAGGATGGAGCCAGGCTCTTCTCAGTGGCAAACAATGATAGGACAAGGGGCAATGGGTGCAAACTGGAGCACAAAAGGTTCCACTTAAACTTGAGAAGAAACTTCTTCTCAGTGAGGGTGACAAAACACTGGAACAGGCTGCCCAGGGAGGTTGTGGAGTCTCCTTCTCTGGAGACATTCAAAACCCGCCTGGACACGTTCCTGTGTAACCTTATCTAGGTGTTCCTGCTCCGGCAGGGGGATTGGACTAGATGATCTTTTGAGGTCCCTTCCAATCTCTAACAGACTGTGATACTGTGATACTGTGATAAAATAGCCAGGGCAGAACATGTGAGTTTTACCAGAGCCTGTGCATGACACAGTAATGATGATATCATGCCCCTGCATCAACATCTGATCCATCCATAGTAGTTCAGAGGTCTGCAAGCAAGGCACAATCCATTCTGCACTTTGGAGTCTTTAATCCATTGCTAAAGTAGCAAATAGCAGTTCTTAGGCATAATTATTTGGAATGTAAAATCCTTGCTCATGCCTGACTTAAGCAGAGAATATTTTCTTAAGGGGATTTAGAATTGGTTTGTACCTTTGACTTCTTTAATCTAATTGCCTGGTAGTACTGTCTGACTGTGTGAATATTCCAGCTTACATTAACAAATATTTTTTTAATCTGTCCTTCATATTTCATGCATATTAGGAATTCATAAATGTGAGGAAATTCTCCAGACTATTCATTTTCCTGCATACAGACCCACAAAAAATGCTTTCCTGAATAAAATCTTAGTGGCAAAGTAGTTCAGAAAGCACTACCTTGCATTCTATATGTCTTAGAGATAACTACTTTCATTTTTTCTTCTTCTTTCTTCCTCTTCCCTCTGTGCTGGTTTTGGCTGAGATAGAGTTAATTTTCTTCATTGTAGCTAGTGTGGGGCTATGTTTTGGATTTCTGCTGAAAAGAATGATGACAATACAGGGATGTTCTGTTCCTGCTGAGCAGTGCTGACACAGAGTCAAAGCCTTTTCTGCCTCTCTCACCCCACCCCACCAGCCAGCAGGCTGGGGTTGCACAGGAAGCTGGGAGGGAACTCAGCTGGCACAGGTGACCCCAACTGACCAAAGGGATATCCCATAACATATGGCATCATGCTCAGCATATAAAGCTGGGAGAAGAGGAAGGAAGGAGGCATGTTTGGAGCGATGGCTTTTTGTCTTCTCAAGCAGTAGTTACATGTGATGGAGTCTTGCTTTCCTGGAGATAGCTGAACACATGTGTGCCAGTGGGAAGTAGTCAATGAATTCCTTGGTTTGCTTTGCTTGTG